AACATCTCTACCTTCCCAGGTTCCCCAGCCTCTCTAGGTTCACCTTTTTTTTTTCAAGGAAAGGGCTTCCAGGTGTCCCCTCTAGAATTCCCAACAAATTCCAACTAAAACCACAAACTTAAACCGCTTCTATCCCCCTCAGGCTCAATTTCTCCTCTCTCTTAAATTACCCCTAGGTGCCATTCCTTAGCTGAACATGGAGTCCCAAGGCTATCTCTCTTAGACTCTAACTCCTATTTCAAGGCCCACCACAGAAGCTACCTCCCTCCTACAGCTTTCTCCCAGTTATCCTGCTACCCTAACTTCTATCAGACCTAGTTCAAAGAGAGGGAACTCTCAATCTTCTAGGTGTGTTCCCCCGCACTAAGCTCTCTCTCTGTCAGCCTTCCTTTCCCAGTTCTCCAATAATTGCAATCAAGCTACCAAGTCAGGATCAGCAGGAGAATAGTTGCTGCATCACAGGTGATGCTGAGCTGCCCTCACCTCCACCTTAACAGGCCAGCTAGCCTCTGACAGCCACTGATCCTGCACTGAGCTCTACCCAGACAGACCTCTAAGCCCTCTTCATAGTTACACTTGTAGAGAATTATTATCATATTCCAGTTAGGCAGCTTTGGGTAAGTTATCTTTTTTCACGTCATCCATTTCAGTCCTTCAATCATTCTTGTTACTTGATAAATGATTTGCTCCCAATTTGTCAACATCTTTACATTACTAAGTAGCCCAGGAATAAATGCAGCTTTCTTAAGTTGTTATAGTCTTAGCAACAGCATTTGGCAGGAGACCATCAGCTTCCTGATTTGTGCCTCTATATCTTCACGATGCCTCTACGCAGGTAGTCCAAAGCTGTATTGGTTTATTATTACCACCATACTACATTCTTTCTACAGATCTCGTGTAATTTACTTTCCACTATCAATCACTTGGTCCTTTGCAGAATTACTGTTTTCTAAATAAATGTCTGCCACTGAACATTGGTGTTATACCCTGCAAGTGTTCCCACAAAAAAAGACAATTGGCTGAGGAAATCCCATGGCAGTTACCTACCAACCCATTCTCATAAAGGAGTGGACATCTTTGTACCCCAGCTCTCACCTCATATTCCCCATTGACCTGGCAGAAAGAAAGAAAGAAAGGAAAAATTCTCTGGGTGCCAGGACAAAGCCACCATTAACTTCGCTGCAGCTATCTAACCGGACATCCAACATCTCCAAAATGAGATGATGTAGACTGTGGCTTTCCTTTTTACTGTGCAAAGCTCTATGCAGTCCTATCCCCCTGGAACTCCAGTAGGGGGATTTACACAAGGTCACAGTGAATGATGTATGATGGCACAGAACGGGCATTTCCATCTCCATGGTCCACCTAAGTAGGGTCCCTTTTGGGATGGAAGTGGAGGGGAAGATAAGGATCTATACATCTAATCACAGGGGCCTTTTGTATTATTTCTGTCTTAACACAACCTCCCAATTTGCAATTATCTGGAAATTTAACTATCACACATTTTGTCTCCTCTTCCAGATCTTTAATAAAGATATTAAATAAAATGAACATGAATCACTGCAGCAGCCCATCGTATGCCTTCCCCCGATCTTGATACATTGCTGTTTCTTTATCCTTCATTCACACTCCATCAGGCAGCTTTCACACCAAGTAACTACTAATATCCAAGCCAATGTTTTTTTCTCAAATTAATTTTAATGAAAATCCAGAAATATTTCATTGACTGCACCCAATTGATTTATGATTTGATACAAAAGAAGCAAGCAAGTCCACCTCTTGCAGTTGCATACCCCAAACTCTCCTTCAGCAGTTAAGGACTGCAGGATCACAACCCAGCCTTTATACCAGGATTTTGTTCTTTAGAAACCCATCATATTTACTGCTCATTGTCCTGTTATCTAAATCAGCATGAATTCAGAAGTGCTGCATGCCTCACCCACTGAACCTGAAAGTGAATTATGCAGCTCCTCCAAACTAGCACCACTAAAAACTTGATACCATCATGCATTTCTTTACACATTTTACATAAACTGTTTTAGAAATTATAGAGTTCAAAAATTGTCCCTATAAGTTATTTTTCAGAAATGAACAATTGGTTCAGTGATTAGGGCAAAAGCCTGGCACCGGGGAGTCCTGGATTCATGTACTTCCTCTGCCACATGTTCTCTGTATGTCCCTGGGAAAGTCATTTAGGGATAGATTCACAAAGTGGACCAACATCTAAGTCCTAGGTCTTCTGCCATCTTCTGGAATTCACAGCCCCAAGGTAGGCACCCAGGCTCCCTATACATTGTAGTCAAGTGCCTAAGAAGGGGAGGCTCAAAGCCAGCAAGCTGAGCAGGGACATGTCTAACCTAGCCAGCAGTGAAATGCAGAGGAAAGGGGTGGAACTGAGGGCCCTGAGTCACAAAGGTACCTCAGCACTAACTCCGATTGAGGTGGGCCTTAAGTACCTGAGTGACAGGTTGGAGGTAGGAACCTATGTCTACTTAGGATTTGGCCTCCTCATCCCATTATAGCCAATATCCCAGTGGCTACAGTATTCACCTGCTCTGCTATAGAGCAGGAACTTGAACCCAGGTCTACCTGATTCCAGGTGAGTGTGCTGACCACATTATGGGGAATTCTGATGTGTGTATCTCTCACTCTCTTCTGTTGAAGATGGATAAATAATTAGTCACTAGGCAACAAAACACAAGAGACTAATTTTATAGCCCAGTGGTTATTGTACTCACATGGGTTGCGGGGAAGAGTTGGGTTCAAGTCCCTTCTTCAATAATTAACTATTTATACAAATCTTCAACAGGAGAGACTGAGAGAAATCCACCCCAAATACTAATAAGCTGGTAGTTTGGGCACTCACCTAGGATTTGGTTGACCTGGGGTCAAAACTTTGATCCAAATCAGGCAGAGTGGGGATTCAAACCTGGGTCTCCCCTCACCACAGGTAAATATCCAATGACTAGGCTATTGGGTACTTGGGAATTTGTGTGTCCCTGCTCAACCTACCCAGTCCCAGCTGTTTTGTGGGGGCTAGCAATGCTCTGAGTACACCTACCTAATGGGCCCCAAAGGCAGGGTGGGTGAAAAACCAAATTTGCAAATTCTGCTGAGGATCAGGTGTGGTTGCTCCCGGCAGCTCATTAGGTGGTGGGAAGAGGGGGTGGGTGGCAACAAGACAGCTCTGTACATTCCTACTGGCAAAAATTTAGGCTGGCATATATGGGGACTTGAGCACCAACAGAGTTAAGTGGCAGCTGAGCAGTGGTTTTGTGAACTTCAGAGGCACTTAAATGTTAGACTTAGGTACCTAAAGAGGTAGTTACATGTATAAGTCCCTTTATTTGTAAAATATGGATAACAGCACTTCTCTAGCTCACAGGGGTGTTGTGAAGATAAATAAGAATTGTGAGGCACTCAAATGCTATGGTGATGGGGAACAGATAAGTACTTCAGATAGATACATAGCTGCTTAATTTCTTAGTATGATAAATTCAATATAAATACTTAAGACAGATGATACATAATTTTATTAGGCACATTTACTTAACATTAACGAACAAGATTGGCTACTACATTTGCTTCCCCCTTCCTCCCTCATCTTGTTACCGCCGTTGTTCTCCATGACTTTTCAAATAACTCCCACTGGTTCAGGACACTTTAGAATCCATAAGATATTATACAAACATGCCAATTTGTGTTTGCAAGTATTCCTTTAACTGCCTTTTAACCAATACCTGTAGACATATTTCTCTTTTCATCTGCTTAAAGATAAATTTTAAAAATGTTTCTCAGTGATTTTAGACTGTTTAGTTTCTCACTTTTATTGAAGGCCAGACATGCTCTCCCTACCCTCACACACCACCTTCATTGATACAACTATAAAAACCATTCTTATTTCACTTAATGCCTTTGGCTACCAGTAATTGATTCTGCCTTTTGACTGATGGATATTCTTTTCCTCTACCAACCTTGACTGTATATTTACTGTTTGTTTCCCTTCCTCTGCCATTTCCCCATGAAGACACAATGGCTGTTCCCAACTCCTTCCATTTCTTCCTTACATGCACGTATAAAGGGTAGGCTGCTGTGCTTTAGCTATGATTTCTTTAGGGTGCTCTATTTTTGTTTCACATTTATGGATTTCATGTACTATGAAAGTTCACAGTATATTTTTTAATGACTCAAGTTAAGGTTGTACACTACCTGCGGCACCAAATATGCACTTTGTGTTAATTTCTGAAGGTTCAGACAGGGGAAAATAGACATATATACATTTATACATATTTATTGTCACTTTTAAAAGTAACATTTTCATTTACTTTAAGTATTCACCCCTCTTGTGTTCCATATGTGCATGTGTTCAGAGGATAAATACTGGCTTTCAAGTCCAAAATTAAAACCAATGAAATTACATGCCAGAGCCAAGCTCTGTTGCTTGTTGGCAGTTCTTGTCAGGATAATACTATTATACAGTACCAATAGGACACAGGACTTGGTTAGTCTTCAGAAATAGCATGGTAAATACATTGCTTCGCTTCGGCTCCAAGAAGATGATCTTTCCTTCACGGTCAGTCACCAGGAACGGGCTCATGCGATGGCTCCTTTTTCACATCCAACCAGTAGACAAGGGTTGCTCGTCTTTTCTACTGAGGCTTCTTCAGAATGTAAGCTTTTCCCGTCACCTAAAGATGAAAGCTCATCGGCCATTATGCTTAGAAGCATATTCTCTTCAACACGACAGCAAGAAAACTGTTAAAATCTGGCATTTAGTTAAGAGAACTAAGAATATAACAAACCAATTTCTGCCCTCTGATACACGTATGCAACTACCACTGATTTCAGTCTAGACCTCTGCATATTACTTTATACACACACACTACAACTAGGAACAAAAGTATCAGCAAAAGACTACACTTACATTGTTTCCAAATTAATTTGCAACTATACAATTTTAATTGTAATAGAAAAAGGGGAAAGGAATATAACAACAGGTATTAAGAGAGATATTTTCCAAATTTTTATTTGTGCACATTCATCAAGTGAAAAAGGTAACTTTTACAGCTTCTTTGGTGCCCAATATTCAGCATACAAAAATGTAAAAGACTATTCACAAATAAAACACAAGCTCAAACTAAAAAAATGTTTGAAAGGTAGTGCACATCGTGACAGGTTCACTTATGAATACACAGAAATTACTGCAAAAATAAATAGAACGTCTTTTTAAAAGCAGCAATTTCATATCTTGTAAACTTTTGTTTTTACAATACAGCACTGTTCAAAATAAAATCCAAAGGGACTGGAGTTTACACTGTGGCCATGAACAAGTAAAAGAGTCTGTATTTCCTCAGCTATTGTTGGTCCAGTTTTCCTTTTTTTGCTTTTAGTCCAATGTGCAGCAGTCTTTGAAGGTGCTTGGTTAGGGAACCTAACCATTAAGTGGTGAATTATAAAATTTCTTTCCTGCTTTCAAACACGAATGGGTAAATCTGTTCCACAGCACTGGCAACAGCCTTTACGTTTGGCCCTGAGACATTTAAAAAATGGAGAGAAGAGGGAGAAAAAGTCAGGGCAACGTAACAGGACCTCAAAAACCATTCAGAATATACTAGCTAACACAACTTTACACTGTAGACACACCTTTTTGCATATTTAAGAAAGTTACTAAGTACTTAGAGGAAGAAAATAATATGCAACCTCTAGAGCCTGTAATGACATTTGAACTGGTTGTTGACTAGATTAGAAATTAATATCTCCATATCTGTTACTTTTATCTCGTAAGAAATTATATACTGTCTAGTACACTGGAATAGAAGAATCCCAGAAAGAGCGAGTTGGTAACGTCTGCTGATGGCACTAAGTCCCATGTAACAAACTATGAAGGTTGCAGGTGATTGAGCAGAATGACAAATAAAATTAATCTTGGATAGGAGCTTAGTGATATATTGACCAAAATAGTCAACTTTTCAACCACACCGACAGCATGTGAAGTTGTGATTTCCTCTGAAGAAAACTATTTTGGAGGCTCAGTAAAAAGGGTCTGCCTAATTTGCAGCAGTATTTAAAAAAAGTATAGAAAATGCAGAAAATACAGCTAAAATTGTATCAAACGCTAGCATGCCCCCATTTAGAGTATTGCCAATTTTTGGTGACCCGAGATTGTGTCTGTGGACTTTCTCAATGAAGATGATTAAGGGGAAGATTTGGGAACATGCCTGGCCTTTATGCCTTTAAAAAGCCCTTCCTAAAGGTATTTTGGATCATGTAGGTGGAAAAATTAGGATTACTTACCCCAGAAGGGAACAGAGTTAGAAAGGAATTCATTAATTTATTCAAAATTTTGCAACCCATAACCTTCTGGGTCACCCAATGAAAACAGCCAGTATTTTTAGACAAAATAAAGATAAGGACAATAATATTTCAGACAACTTATATAATTCACTGCTTCTCAAAGTCAGTATCAAATATCATAGCTGGATTTTTAATGGCCTGCATAATTTTAAAACCATTAACAAAAGCTGTATAAATGAAAACAAGGACAAGGGTAATCAAGTCGCATGTTTCATGGCATAAAATTACTGCTGGGGTCCCTCTCTGCCTCATGGATAACACTGCCAGTTTGGTTGAGTGAATTTGGGGAGGGTTTTCTGCCTTCCTGTAAAGCACAGCTGTTGACCACTGTCAAAGACAGGATACCCAACTTAATGAACTAATAGTTTCACCAGGAAGGAGAAGAGGACTCCAGAAGTTTCTTCCTAATGTAGTGATCTTTAAAGAGATCACAAATCTTTGTATGTCCTATTTATGTGTAAATTTCAGGAAACAGTATTTTAGTGCTTTTTTGAAAATAAGAAAATGGACCAGGAAGAGGATCCTTCTCATATTTTCAAACCTTGTGAGGATTATACGAGGCCTATCAGTCCACATACTCTGCTTTTCACGCAGGCACCACTGAATGCACTGCACCTCCCTCCAATTTCTCTGCTACCACAGAAATATGAAGTTCTAGAGAGCAATGCCCAGTAACATCCAGCAGGCTGTGGAAAGCAGAAAGAGCATGAGTAGGTAAATGGGTCTTGAAGGATAGTAGTGATTCTCCCAAGGTTGAAGACCTGGAAGGGACCCTCCACAGCAAGACAGAGGATTGTGGAGGTTAGCACAGGGAGAGAAGAGAGACAGAAGTTGAGGAAACCCAACACTCATTTTAGGGGAAGAAAAGCTGGAATTGATGACACTTCCACCAGCTTCCTCATTTCTTTTTCTCTCTTCATCGAACCTGCAACCCTCCCCACCCACGTCATTTAAAAAAAAAAAAGTATTTCTCCTGAATTTTAATAGACATTCTTAGTTATGAAATACAAATAGTTAAATCACAGTTCAATAAGTTGGCTGCATTTCTGGGGAACATTAAAGCTTCTCATTTATCTGAAAAGTAATTTTTCTTCTATGTTTGGCTGTTACTAGTTCAAATTAGCTTGCTGGAACATTTACGTTTTTGGTAGGTTTCCATTTTGGATGTTTGTGGGTTTTAGCTATAATGATTACAGTTAAAAGAAATGTATTCTATCAAAATGTTAGATATTTGTAAGGATCCCATATCCCACCCTCCCCCCCCAATACAAGTGTCTCTAAGCATTATTTTAGAAACTAATATCTTATCTGTCATTTTCAACCAACAGAAATTTAGTATGGGATAATTCCATATCATGTGTGTCGAAGTTCTATTTTAATTTCCCACAGTTTCTGAATCTTTTTTATTCATGTTTTTTCCCCCCATTTTAGCAAGTATTGTATTTGCTCTCAGCTGATGTTTGTGCATATCTGGGAAACACAGTAAAGTCCTTCTTGAGATATGGGGCAGAGGATGCCAAGTAGGAATAGAGGGGAGTGGGAAAGGTGGCACAAAGCCTCCAAGAAAATAAATATATATATATATTTTAATTTCAGGACCAAAGTTAACAAAAGCGTTCCAATGACTGAGGAAATCCGTTAGACGTCTGGTAACTAGGAAGAGGTTTCCACACAACTATTTAGTTGTTTGTTTCATTTTAAGTTTCCAGCCAAGGTTGTGTCTAATGTTTCCATCCAAAAGGGGCAGGAGGAAGTTTACCCAAGCATTTGATAGACTAGGACCAAAACCTGAAATAGGGCAATCTCTAGCACCCCCTAGTTGTTGGTCACAGGATGATGTTGCCATTTTATATTGTCTGGGCCTCTCTAGTCTCAAGGTGTATGCCTGTGATAGGAACTCTTGCTTAAACAGCAGTAGTTTATGGGACTGTACTGAAGAAAAACGAGAAGGAAGGTTAAAGTTTTAGAATTTGTAATTAAACAAGCAAATATCCTCCGTCTCTGGTATATAAGCTCAATTTCCTCATATGCCTCATCTCCTCAGAAACTGACTACAGCCACGTGTATAAAACAAACGCATTTGATCTGCTGGGAGTATTACATTCTCCACAGTTATTCAGGCATTTTCACTGAAAGACAAGTTATCTGGCAGCATTAAGTACAAATGAAATCTCACATGCCTGTCTCTCTGTTGCTTTCAAAGTCTAACTGAACTCCCATGAAAGAAAGTAAGTTAAATATTTATTTTGGCATCATAAAGTACCCGTTACTGTGATACTTCCTGTTGAAAAAATCTGTAAGGTAGCTCTGAGAGGTTTTATTCTGTAGCACACTGCAGGATGAAGCTCCGGTTCATAACTAGAAAACAGAAAAGATTGTCAAAGACACTTCTATATTTGCTAATAAAAAGCTGATACATTGAAGAAAAAGATAAGAATTCTCTTAAGACCTACTGTACCTAGCATGAGGTCTATTATTCTTCGTAAATTCTGGCAATCTGATTTCAAAGGGCATGTTGCACACTGCTAAAACATTGACAACCTTAAAATCTGTGAAAATTACCTTTTGGAGAGAGAAAGAGAACAAGAATAAGAAATGTTATGATATCTGATATGGAAAAGATATCTTTTGACAATAATTTGATTATTTCAACCAATAAAACCCTGTGTTTAACACAAAGCTGATAAGAGTAGGAATCCAAACATAACTAGGATAAATTTTTAAATACCTAACTTAGTTCTGAACTATCTTTGTAATCCAATAACTTGTCTAGCAAAAAAAACCAAAAACAAAACACAATTGCCTTCTCATGTAGATTCAATTACATTTAGAATGAACATGCATGGTCTATATCACTGTAGTAAGCACTTATAACTAAGTTAAAAATTAACGAAACCAAATTATTCATGAAACACCAAAATAAATGACAGAGGAAAGCTTGGTTTGTAGTGTTACTAGAACCCACTAAGGTGCTACATAATTAGTTCATATTAACAGTTTATCATTGTTTTATTTAAGTTAAAAATAAAAAAGAAAATGAGAGAAAATTGTTTGTTTGCTTTCTTTCTTCTGTGGCTAGTACAGAGAAAGCCATTTCCTTTTTCTTTTTGAAACAAAAAGCTAATAGCCTTTTATCCAGAGCCACAAAATGCTACAATATGGTGGTAAAATGCCTGTGGCGAATTACCAGCAAAGCCAATGCAATAGTGGGAGATTTTCCTGAAACTGTTAACACAGACATGGCCAATGAAGAACCATTTTTGCTCAAACTTAAAAAAGAAAAAAAGGTTTGCAGCTTGAGAATGAGTCTACTAAATTTCAGTTTGAACAATTAAATTACAAGCAGATGAAAATGACCCCCTTAGAATGGAAATGCTTGTGCAATATTAATTAGACATCAACATGTGCTCTGCCTATAACGTTCACTCTTACAATAAAGAGAAGCCACATTAATCTGTTTCTGCACATAAATGAACCTGTTTATTTCCTATAAAGCCATTACTAAAGCTTTACATGGGTATATATTTCATCTGACTTAATTCAACATTCTGCTCCATCATTTTCACTTTTACATGATATCCAATGCTTAATAGCCCCATAACTCAGTTTTTCAGTTTGATTAAATGCACTCAGGCTAGTAAGAGTTGCTGTGGGCTGATTGCCCATCTCTAAAATTTGGTGGCCATTTTATATGCTAAACAAACTTGGAAGTAGGACAGTCTTACTTTTGAATCATCACTGATGTCTAGCTACTTGCCTGATAGTAAATTTATGGTTTATTTAATTAAATTAGAGCAACTGGTTGCATGATAGCTCTAAAATGTCATTACATGCCCTTCTGCTCAAGGAACAAACACCAAACTGAATGGTTCTATCAGCCACGCCTAAGTCACTTACAGTAGCAGACTTTGCAACTGATTGGTAGATGTAACTGACCCAAGCTCAGGCAAGGAGTTCCACTTTGTGAGTTCTAATTTAGGAGTAAATTCTGGTCCCAGCGCACAGTCTGATTAGACTATAGCAACTTGCTTTAGTTTAATTTTTTTTTAAATCAAACTTGTAGCAGTTAGGAGTTGTTCACCATAATGGCTCTCCTAAAACTAGATCCACTTGGAAAATGTGTCTGTTCATATGACAACCATATTTATGCCAATCAGCATATTTTACAAATGGAGGGGACAAATTTCCACTTTTCTTCAATGCAATCCTTTTAGAGATTTTGAGAATAAGGAGGACATTATATATATGCAGATGGTTAATTTACCCAATCTCCTGAAACAAATTTCTGCTCATGAGCTGATAAGAAAGCACGATGCTGAACTACCAAGTGGGAGCCCCAAATACAGTAAAATAAATACAATCTCAAGATAACCTGTGTTGCTACACAATGAGAATTTGAGTGAGAAAATGCTGGTTATGAAATTGTTATAGCACCTCTTCTGCTGACCATCAGTTTTAAAAGGTCCAAACATGCTAGTCCCTATCAACAGAAATACATACATATACTATTGTTCACCCCTAAAAGAGAAGGTTATTATCAAAAGGATCATTACCTGAAAACCTAGTTTTTGCAAAGTACGAGCTAAACGTCTGGCACCAAATTTAGCTTCTTCTTCACTATAATTTAAAGGAGAGAAATAATAAGGGACTAGTTTTACTAATAGCTACTGCAATAAAACTAAAATTGTAAGATGTATACATACACACGTTCACATACTTACATATATAATCACACCAAAAACTATATTAAAAGAACATTAAAATGCAAAGTCAAGTGAAGAAGTGCCAGCATTAAGGTAATCTGTACATATGAAATCAGCCCCCTTGAGCATATGCATTGACAGCGTTTTCCAAACAGCAGGCCTCGATCCACCAGTGAGTCTTGGAAAGCATCTAGGTGGGTCACTTGTGGCCCAGAGGTGCTCTCTCCACCCGCACTTTCACTTCCCCTGGAAGGCAGCAGTGTAGGGAGAGGGATTTGGGCAGCAGCAGCATGGAGGAAGCAGCTGAAGCCAGAATTGGACAGTCAGCAGCCTGGTAGTGATCGCGACCCAGCTGCACAGAGAGAGGGGCCAGCTGAGGCTGCAGGATGGGGCAAGGTGGGGAAAGCAAGAGCAAGGGGACTAGGGGGGAGTAGGAAGTTGGTGGGCTGAGAAAGGGAGGGAGGGGGAGGAGAGGGGATAATGGTGGGTCCCCCAAAAAGACAAAATGCATTTGATGGGTTGCCTTTGTAAAAAGTTTGTGAACCACTGTATTATGTTACAGTCTTCAATTACACAATCGATACTATGTTTTCCACAGGTCCCTTGCTTCATTCAGTTCGCAGAATGGACCTGCTCTGGGGATAAATCGGCCTTGTGTATTGAAGGAGACTTTTGTCTGTAGAACCCTGCTTCATTTCAGTCCCCTTGCCCAGCTAGTCCCAGTCCCCACGTCCCAAGTCCCAGATTCCGCCCCTCCCTTCCCCCAGCCTGCAATTTCAGTCTCCCTCCCGTCCCAATCTAGTCCCCTTGTCCCCTCTGCATTGGAGTCAGGCAGCAACCTGCTCCACGCTGCCTGGTCCCAAGCAGGAGGTCATGGAAAACACAAGAGAGACATGCTCCCAGTTCAGGTGCCAGGATCTAGACCTAGCACAGCCCACAGCAATTGTAGGGAAAGTCCTGCTCAGTTCAGGGCTGGAGTATGCCAAGTGCAGACCAATTCTTCAGGGAATGTACCTGCTAAAATTAAGCCTCTATTGAGAATGTGCAAATGGAGATTCTTTTCCCGCAGGGTTTAGAAGTTGGCCAAATTTGGATGGATTTTCACAGGGACAGCAAAGAATACTTCCCTGACACAAACTACCCCACTTCCCCACACTCCAATTTCAAGTCATTGCTCCAAAGCATGGAGATGCTAGAGCAGGAGTCGGCAACCTTTCAGATGTGGTGTGCCGAGTCTTCATTTATTCACTCTAATTTAAGATTTCGTGTGCCATAAGACATTTAAAGTTTTTAGAAGGTCTCTTTCTATAAGTCTATAATATATAACTAAACTATTGTTGTATGTAAAGTAAACAAACATTTTAAAAACCTTAAGAAACTTCATTTAAACTTAAATTAAAATGCAGAGCCCCCCGGACTGGTGGCCAGGACACTGGGCAGCGTGAGTGTCACTGAAAATCAGCTTGCGTGCCACCTTCAGCACGCGTGCCATAGGTTGCCTACCCCGTGCTAGAGCATTTCAATGAAAAGGTTGCCAGACTTTTTTTTTAAATGTAGGTAAAACAATGTATTTTTCCCTAGTGTCATTCTCAGAAATAATGGTTGAACTGTTTTAGTTAAAATTTTCAAAAAAATTCAGCCTGAAGCAGACATTCAGCACAAAAAAATTCTGCCCAAAGGGTTAAAATTTGGCAAAATTATAAGCAACTGAAAACAGGCTCTTATCATGGGAACTGTCATGCAACCTTCATAATAGATGGTTGTACCAGACTTGCCAATAATATATGCAATAGATTTCATGACAATAAGTGGTATTTTCCAATGTCATATACAAGAGTTTCATCCAGGAACGATTTTTTCCTTCTCCTACAAAAAAGGAAGTTTACCTTGTGGCTCCTGTGCAAATAACTTTTCCTGAGGACCAAATTGTGGCCGTAATCCTAGGTTTCCTAAGCTTCATTAATACTTTCTGAAAGAATTAGAAGAAAAATAGGTTTTAGTGTATGTGTGATTTCATACTGAAAAAACAAGTATTATACTAATAAAATACTTCCTTTATTCTATTTTAGCCATGAGGACTGTTCCTTCCTTGCCTTCAGAAGTTAAATCAATATCAACTCCTGAGAAGAGCAAAATAAACCTTAAGTATCTTAGCCAATGAGCAAGTATTAAAGTAACAGGTTAGCTAGTGGCTCAAGTGAACAGAAATTATTTAAATAAGCTTTTTTAAGTCTGGTAGCACTGTGCTAAAATCATCTCCTGTCACTATGACCACATCACTGCTCTGACTCTTTCCACTGATTGTCTCCTTCTGCACAAATTCAAACTTCTTGATCTCATCTGCAGAGTTTTATACAACTTCACTTTGTCTACATTTCAGATCCCATTTTCTTTTGCTTCCCCAAGCATCCTTCCTCTGCTAATTCCCTCTTGATTTCTCACTGTGTTTGTCTCCTCCTCTAACCTGCGAAGCTGCCCATTTTTTCACACCATATACCTGGAAGAGCCTCCCTACATCAGTATACCTAGCAACCTCACTATTTTGCTTCAAAATCCCAACTCAAAACTCGTTTTTTGACTAGCATTCAACATTGATCACCACTTGAGCACTTCCCTGCTACCACTCATGCTTGACCATGCTAGACACACACACACAAGATTGTATAATATCTTTCTAACAAGCTGTTCCCCTTACCCATACATGGGAGCCAACTGTACACATCAGATTAAGTTTCTCAAGGCAGTGATCTGTGTCTTACTTTATTTCTGCACAGATATGTGCACATCTACAATAGGGAGCGATATAAATAAATAAGATTCAAGCCACGTTTTTGGCATGTCAGAATGAGTATTTTTCTGGTCAGCCCAACTAGCCCTGCATGGACAGGAAGATGGACTAGATCAGTGTTTTTCAACAACCAGTCCGTGGATTTGTGCCGGTCCCTGAAATTTCCCGGACACAATTTAGGAAGACAGCAAGCTGGTCCCTTGGACCAAAAAGTTTGAGAACCGCTGGATTAGATGACCAAACAAGACTTTCTCCCTGTTTATTTTAATATTAGCTGAGTGTGCACTGGAAACAAACTGCAGAGATTTAATTTCACAACATTTCTTATGGCTTCAAAGCACTGCAATATTTATCTCCTCAAATTTAGTATCAAAGAACAGATAGAAGCCTGGCAAACTTGAACAAGAAAGAAACTGGAAGAAGTCAAAGAGATGAGAATCCAGCCATTCTAAACACAATTCTGCTACACTGACTGAATTCACACTACCAACTGTATCTACCATATGGATATTGACAGAGCTCAAACTGATAAACATGTATAAAAGTTAGTCTAGTTTGGCATTTGAGATATGTTAAATTTCTTACCCCAACATCACGCTTGTAGATCACATTTGCTCCCTCTAATGCAATCTTCCTCAAGTTTAAATGACATCTTGTTCTAAAAACACACACTACATTTGTGATTAAAATGTCCAATGCAACATCACTGTCTGCATCCATTGGGGTGGTTGAAAACTCAAATTCCCCACCAGCACACCATGAAGATCACATTCTGAAAAAGAAAACAATACAATTAAAAATACTGTGTCACACAGTTATGTAAAAAAATCCCTTTCGTGTACCTTAGTTCCTTAATTGAGACAGTCTTAGAATCTGGAACTGAAAAATAAATTTTATGCCATTCTGACTCATTTATAGTCTCTGTTAACCACAAAGTTTTGCATCCTGTATATCAGAAAACAGGAAATCTATTGCTTATTAAAACTCACATTTCAATACAGTGAAACCAACTTATCAGAAATAGTCATGAAAGAACTAATTATATATAAAAACTGAAAAAAAAAAAGGAATAAGATATCTTAATTATACTTTACTGTTCTTTCAACAAAAATATTTTTAAAAGCTGAATATGAAGATGATTTAGGATTTCTATGAAACAAAGGAAAAGCTTTCTAGTACCTATAAGTGATAACCTTTCCTCAATTCCTTCCTCAAATCAGTGCAGGATAGATTTAGACATAAGGAAAAATTTGTTTCTCTTGACTGTTTCGATTAATGATGATTACATGGATAAAATTTAATTCCAAATATAAGGATCAAATATTTGCCAAAGTTTATGCTTTGAAACTATAAGCCTTCTCGCTGCCTTTGAAACATTAAGATATGCACAAAACACGCATACATTAAAAGAATAAACATACCTTCAAAGTATTTTTTATCCTTAAATTAGCTTTCCTGTGTATAGTCAATGCTATGAATGAACTGGGAGGAGAGGCACTTGATTAGGGATGAGGGATGGGACAAGCTGTGGGGGCATCGGGGGAAGGGGGTTGCTGGCTCTGGGGTGGGGCTGGGGAGCTTGGGGTTCAAGAGGGGGCTCTGGGTTAGGCTCGAGGGGTTTGAAGGGTGGGAGGGAGATCAGGGCTGTGGCAGGGGAATGGGGCACCCGGGGGGGTGCTCAGGGGTGCAGGCTCCAGGCAGCGCTTATTGCAAGCAGCTCCTGGAAGCATGCCCCCCCTCCAGTTCTGTGGTGTGGCCAGGTGGCTCTGCGCACTGCCCCGTCCGCAGGCACCACTCCTGCAGCTCCATTGGCTGGGAACCGGGCGGATGGGGCACAGAGCCGCCTGGCCATGCCGCCGCGTACTAGGTAGGAACCGGAGAAGCCGGCTGCTTCCTGGGAGCCGCACGGAGCGGGGCAAGCCCCCGATCCTGCTTCCCGGCTGGAACGGGACAAACCCCCAACCCCGCTCCCCAGCAGGAGCTGAGGGCCGGATTAAATGGTTGGATGGGCCGAATGTGGCCCACGGGCCGTAGTTTGCCCACCCCTGGACTACAATATAAAAAGAAACTTTCATCATTTGATGGTTAAAAGTAGTTCCTGTTTTATGCCAGAAACTACTTCAGAATCTTCTCCCCTACAAATAACACATACTAGCATATTAGAGAGATAAGGTGAGTGAGGTAACATCTTTTATTGGACCAACTTCTGTCATACTTAAGGATTGTTCAGTTTCTCATTTGTGAAAATCAGTCCAACACAACTAAAATAAATTAACTCTGAAACATCCCAGAGTTCAAGTGCTCTACTAGTAATACACTGAACTTTCATTTCCCACTGCAGACTTGGTTTTTTTTAAACTAATTATTTCAACACAATTTTGCCACTAACAATTAAAATTCAAATAGAACTATGCAATGACAGCTTCAATGTTTTTTGTCATTTTTACCAGCATACACCCATCCTCCCTAAAATTGGATAGGAAAGTCAGCTCCTTTGGTTTTGTGGGGGCGTTTTTAGTTTTGTTTTTTGAAGCAGAGAGGAGGCAGGGGAAGGAAGAGAGAAGACATATATCTAAGGGTATATCTACACTGTAGTTGAGACAATGCCTTCCAGTCTCAATAGACAGATAAACGCTAGGTCCGCTTGAGCTAGTGTGCTAACAATTGCGGTGCTGCCATTGTGGCATGGGCTAATCACCTTAGCCCAGGTGTGCATAACCCTCCAGGTCCAAGGTCAGGTGACCAGCCAGTGACACAACGATGTCTCCACTGCTATTTTTAGCATGCGATCCACTGAACTCAGACCCAGGAGATCAGAAGTGTCTGAACTTGGGTGATTAGCCACTGCCACAAAGTGTGCACTGCTATTCAGTATGCTAGCTTGAGTGGAGCTAGCACATATCTGTCTATCTGGGCTGGGAAGCATGCTCCAAGCTGCAGTGTAGACATACACTAAGGGTCTCACTGAGGCGCTGCAATTATTTTTGTAACTTTTTACCAATATAGAAAAGTAAAAATTTTAATGCTGCTTGTTAGGAAAGTCCTTGAAACATTACCGGCAGGCAAAATGGGCAAGAATTTGGCAAGGAAAGATTCAAAAGCTAAAGCAGACCACAACTCAAGAGATGGAGGCCACAGTTAAGGTTAAGATTTTGTCAAAGTTATTTTTAGCAAAAGTCACATACAGGTCGCAGGCAAAAAACAAAAATTCATGGAAGCCTGAGCATCCCAGCGCAGAGGTGACAGCCTGAGCCACACTGCCCAGGACTGATAGCCCGAGTCCTGAAGTCGCGGAGGTAACGAAAAAAATCACAGAATCCGTGACCTCCTCGACAGACTTGTAAGCCTTAGCCACAGTACATCAAATCACTGTTGATCCATTAGCTGAAAATCCTGTAACACCTCATACTGAATGAACACAACAAACAGCAAAGAATATAATGAAAGAAAAGCAGTCAGCCTTAAGATAAATTCTCTATGCTGATTCGTTTTATCAAAAAAGCAGGAGGCCACAAGACAAGAAACTGCCACATGTAAAAGGAGACCATCACATATACTCCCTTGCTAAATGAAATACAGAGGCAAGATCAAAATATTTATTAGAAATAAGCAAGAGGGAAACCAAGATTGTTAGTATCAACTTTTCCACCTAAGCACTTTTAATGTTATTTTGCCATGCATTCTTGGCCCCCTGCCACAACTTCTGACCAATAGCCTTCTGAGACACACCTTGTGTGGAGGACTACAGCTGGATAACAAAAGAGAAGCAGAAGCAAAAGAGAACCATCATATAGTAGTGATGCATTGAAATGCAGATGTGTTTTACATATAGAACTGGCTGCTGTGTGATCACTGATCTATTTCACTGTGCAGCTGGCTCCATATCCAAAACATCATGTCATAGCTCTTGGCTTGTCAGAGGAAAAAGGAGGCAGGGGGGAGAGAGTAAAAGAATCAAAGGAAAGGCCAAAGAATAGTGAGAAATAGGAAGAAAGAACAGAGGAAACAAAAAGAAGATGATACAGGGTATGGAGGAGAAAGAAAAATGGTAACTAATATTTTTCTACTGAGAACTATACATATCCCTAAGCTTACTAATGCCCTACCAGGTCTGTTTTTGCTGGCCTATTACAGTATAATGCTTACTTAACTGCACCACAGCAGCTGTTAAATAATATAACTGCTTTCCTGAGAGATGCCTCCAACTCTTTATCACAAAACACCCATCTTTTAGAAGTAAATGCCAGCTGTATGATAGAAGTGGTTAAGAACAGTGGGTACAGGGTGGAGAGATTACAAAAACAAACAATCCACAAGTTCAGTATGGGAGCTGAAAATTACCAGTAAGAACACTAATATACTGGGGGTCCCAGCCAATCAGAGTGATTTCATCCACAAGAATATCATAAAGAACAATTTAAATGTGCAGATTTTGGCAAGCTGAAATTTTAAATTGTAACAGTAATGCACCTATTTTCATCAGTGATATTCTGAAAGTTAACATGATGCAAAGCACATAACTGGACATTTCAAAATGAATTTTAACCATCCACTTTATAATTGTAGTCTACAGATTGTGACAGTTATTTGGTAAAAAGCGACATTTGTTATACAAGCAATATCTGAGCCCAATGTAAAAGACTGAAAACCACTTTCCACTCCAGTGGTTGAAAAAACAAACAAACTTGAACATTTAATATTTCAATGCTGCGAGTTTACACAGTAAACTACTTCAGATGTTTAATACTGATTTAAGTTCCCTCATTAACAGCAGCATGTTGAACAATCTACTTAATACAAAACATTATTACTTTAGTGTTCTTTCAGAATATGAACCCACAAGAGTCAGGAATTTCATAGCTGGATTTCTTGTTCACCCTTTGTTACATATGCATAATGATAAGGTCTTTCATTACATGATCTAATGACATTGAATAAAACAGATGAGTTCCCTTTTGTGGTGTAAAAGGCGGGGGGCGGGCGAAGAGGGGGGGTAGGTAGCTGTCACTGTCTCAGGAACAGTCCAAGAAGTTGGATAAAGGAGGAAATCTAAAACAAAATCTTCAGACATTCATTTTAGTACAGTATAAAATTATACTGAGAAGAATGAAAAGATTCTGGGGAAATGAAGTCTGGTGGGCCACCGTCCTTCAAGATAGAAATACAGATTCAGCTGCATGGTTATTCCTTTTTAAGAAAAGGGCAAATCAACAATCTTAACAAGAGGAAAGATGCAAAAATATATTCAGAGTTTATATATAACTGTTCTTTAAATTATAGATAACGTATTTGAGAGGCAGCATGGTCCAGTGAACATGGTCCAGACAGGGGGCAGCACACCATAGGGTAAAATCCTGACCCCAGTGAAGTCAATGATTCACCTCTAGTATCTATCCCTAACTCTGCCACAGACTTGCTATATGACCTTCAGCAAATCACTGTACCTCAGCTTTTCTATCTTTAAAATGAGAATAAAAGTGCTTATATACCTTTGGTAAAGCACTTTTTGAGATCACTCAACAAACAGCTTTATAGGGCTCGCTATTATTACTCCAGATGTAGCAACTATACTTGTAAAGGAATGGGAACAAAGTTTCCAGTTCTAATTGTGCATTTATTATTTATTAATTAATTATAATTATTATTAAGGGCCAAATTTCTAAACCTGCCATATTAGACTCCACTAGATTTTGTTGATTAGCTCTGTTCATGAACTTTCCTACCTAAAAGTATTAAAAAGATACTGTCAACTTAAAGAGTACTGCAACATTGTGCCAGTGCTTGAGAAGCACTAGTTAGCGTACTTTTTATTGTCCTAGCTTAGAAAAATGCCTAAGGTGAACGGCCTATTTGGGGGAAAGCAAATTCAGTATTATGTTTTTCACTTTTAATAACCTAAAATATTAGTAGCACATGCACAGAAACATTTTAAATAATACTTAACCTGACATGTTATTTTAACTGATAAAGCTACTACCTTAAGATAGCTAGAAACAATTAATTAATAAAAGTTCAAACCAGTCTGTAATACATGGACACCTGTCATAGATTTACTGATGACAAGCCTTAAGGTCTTTCAGCATCTTGATGCTATAAAGTACTGTGAGGGAATTAGCTGATGTAAGGGAATAACTACTCATGGTTTATGGTGTTTCCAGAGTCTTTTAATGGGGGAAATGACACACACTTACTTTTATGGAGATACTAGTCTTGCTCTGCAAGCCACTTTGGCCTCAGTCCCACAATTGGATCTGCGTGGAAAGACCACTGTGTAGTTGCAGAGTTCACTCATGCAGCTCTGAATTCAGAACTAGGGCCTTCATAGGCTGTTAGCTAATAATGGTACTGTCGGTCTATTGTACCAACATCCACATGATGAAATGATTAAAACTACAACATTTATTTTATATGATAGAAATAAAGCTGTAATACAATGCTTCATGTTTGCTTTCTTTTGTAAACAAAGACTTTGGTTCTAATTGGACATTATTTTACTTAAATGCTGAGGTGTTCCTTAAAACATAATTGACGGTCTGAATTCAGCAGAAAACATTCCTGGCCTGAGTAAGCCTTAAGGGATGCAGATGTTGGCTTCACAATAGTCTGTTTTATTTAAGGGAAAGGTTAGCTTGCCACAAAAAAAAAAAAAAAAAAAACTACCCTAAATTTCTAGCTCTGTGGCAGGAAGTTGGGAAGCTACTCTGGGCAGAGAGCTTCCCAACCAACTAGTAAGCTATGCAGCTCTCAAATCTTAGAAAACATCAATGCCTCACCAACGCTGCGTAGCTCATAAGTAGGGCCCTACCAAATTCATGGCCATGAAAAATGCATCAGACCATGAAATCTGGTCTCCCCCGTGAAATCTGGTCTTTTGTGTGCTTTTACCCTATACCAGTGGTTCCCAAACTTGTTCTGCCGCTTGAGCAGGGAAAGCCCCTGGCGGGCCGGGCTGGTTTATTTACCTGCCGCATCCGCAGGTTCAGCCGATCGCGGCTCCCAGTGGCCGCTGTTCGCTGCTCCAGGCCAATGGGAGCTGCTGGAAGCGGCGGCCAGTACATTCCTCGGCCCGCGCTGCTTCCAGCAGCTCCCATTGGTCTGGAGCAGCGAACCACGGCCACTGGGAGCCACGATCGGCTGAACCTGCAGACGCGGCAGGAAATAAACCGGCTCGGCCCGCCAGGGGCTTTCCCTGCACAAACGGTGTAACAAATTTGGGAACCATTGCCCTATACTATACAGATTTCACAGACTTTCAAAAGTAAGGGTGGCAATACCATACCATGCCATCCTTACTTCTGTGCTGCTGCTGGCAGCGGCTCTGCCTTCAGAGCTGGGCAGCTGAAGATCAGCAGCAGCTGGCCAGGAGCCCAGCTCTGAAGGCAGCGCTGCTGCCTGCAGCAGCACAGAAGTAAGGGTAACAGTGCCGCAACCCCCCCACCACACACACAATAACCTTGTGACCCCCCTCTCCCCACACTCATTTTTGGGTCAGGACCCCTACAATTACAACACTGTGAAATTTCAGATTTAAATAGCTGAAATCATGAAATTTACAATTTTTAAAATCCTATGTCCATTAAATTGACCAAAATGGACTGTGAATTTGGTAGGACCCTACTCATAGGAGTTCCAGTAGCACTTGTGTAATGCCTCTATAGTCTCAGTGGGGAGATGGTTTGAGAATCCAACTTCTTGCACACTAAAAACAAACTTTAGAAGAAGAAGATGAACCTTTCCCTTCACCTGATTGGCGGTCTGCGGAGTCTAGTGTATGTTTTTGTGTGAGTGTATGTAATATGTATATTACAATCTCTTTCTCACACACACACAGTTGTCATGCAGTGGTTCTTCTTAGTTTCCTAACTAGATGACTGTCAGCCAGGGAAGAAAGAACCCATCCTTACATAAGGATACCAGGTGATAGTTATTTTGTCTCTCAATATCATAACCATCACATTACATGGCTGTCAAGCTGATCAGAGGAAAATTTTTTTCCTCTGATCAAAGATGGCCATCATAATGCCTAAAGTAATATTTTGTTTGCACAGTATCTCATTTCCCTCCCTTGTGTTTGGTGTGTTGTGTTTATTTTGATTTTTGGTTTTTATAGATTGTAAGCTTTTAGGGCGGAGTCTGTGTGTTTGTACAGCACCTACCACACAGGGGCATTGGTTCCTACTGAGGCCTTTAAGTGCTGCTGCATATAACTATTATTGCTTGTATCCACTGCCAAGTAAGTATTTCCTCTTTTGAGATGGTGATTCTCTACAGATTCACAGTTTAGGAAACTCACTGCATCCAAGACACGTTGCTCCTAGGTTAATTTTTCCTTTTACAGAGCACTTACTTAGCAGCACAAAACTGTTAACATGCTCCACTCATATTTTTCTTAGGGACATTGTCAGGAACTTTAGGTCCCCAATCTAGGTTTTGCGCAGAAAGGAGGCTTTATAAAGCCTAATATTTATAGAAATATTTTCATTAAATGTATAAAAAATTGCTTTGAAAGCTTTTTATAAAAGGTGTGTTAAACATTCCTTTGCAGTACTTGCTGCAATGTCTAGGTTGGATCATGCTGCTGTATCAGAACCACAAAATAAAACTGACTAGATTCTTGTTTTGGGACAAACTGAATGAAGTACAAAACATCAATGAACATAAATAGAGAAAAGTAATCAATCATTTTTAGCAATGATTTGTTTTTTAAACTTAGCCAAAATCTTTTCATGGAAACATATGAATGTTAGATTTTTGCTTAACTTTTGTTAAACTACAAAGCATAGATTTCAGGCCTAAATCATTTGACAGTTTCCATTTCACAACGCTGATCACCTAGGACAGATTCTAGATCTAGTTTAACATGCCACCACCGGGGTTTAATCTAACCAACAAATGTTATTTTAAAAACTTACAAAAATCATCGTTTGGGAGGAGTGAGGGGAAAAGGGTTGGGTAAGTATTTGCCATTTTGAGGAGCCCCTACTGGTTGCCAGGAAACAGTGTTTCCCATGGTGGATGCTCTTGTCTCGTTCTCCTCCGCCTTACTTTCCCCTTCCCCTGGAAAGGGGGGCAGGGAGTGGATGGGGCGGCTGGCAGCTTGAACTACGTTCTGTGCACACACCGTTATTTTTGCAGCACACCAGCTGTTGGGACAGGGGGAGGGGAGGCCCAGACATTGCTCGGATCTCTGCCCCACACCGCCCAGAAACGAACCACTAGGCGAGAACGGACGTGGGAGCGCCACGGGGCTGAGGAGCCCGAGCCCTGCGCCCCCGGCCCCGCTCCGCAGGGGGCAGCACCCAGAGGCGCCTTTATTGGGGGTGGGGGGCGACAGAGAGGCCGCGAGGGGCTCAGCGCTCGCTCTTGGGGGATCGGGCTCAGACCGCGGGCCCAGACTGGCGCCCCCCCGTCCCCTCCGCAGCACCTGCCTGCCAGGCCCCCTGCAGCTGTCCCCGCGCCCCGGCCCCGCAGCGCCCGCCCCCAGCGCCAGACTCTCCCCGGCCAGCGCCGCGGGTGGGCGGCGGCGGCTGCAGTTACCGCGTGGGCCGGCGGTTGAGTGTCCCCGGCTCCGCCGCGCGCGGCCCGGTTGCTACGCGCCCCGTCGCTCTCGCTCTTTGTTGTTCCGGGTCCCGGGCCCTGTCCCCGCGACAATAAACATCGCAAAACGCGGCGGCCATAGAGACGGCTCCGGCTAGAACGGCCGCCGCCGGAAGTGCCACGAGGGCCGCGCTGGACGCGCGCTTCCGGGTTTTCTCTCCTTCCTCGCGCTAGGCAGCCCAGAGCAGTGTGCGCGTGGGGATATTTGCGGAACGAGGCGAGGAGCCGAGCGTCCTGTTCAGGGCGGAGCGGGCTCGAGCCTTTTTTTACCCTCTTTTGCAGTCGGCGCTGCGCCTGGGTTGCTAGTGGCGGCCCGTGCGATTGCCCAGGCTCCGTTCACTGCTCAGCAGCCCGCGAGATCAATGCTTGGGCAGTGCAGCGCAAGGCACTTGGGCTACAGCTGTTTGCTCCCCCCCCAACCGGGTTATAATCGAGCAGGCAGTATCTGTCCCAGCCTAGCCCCCTGCTGTCTTTGGTTGTTCCAAGTATTTTGCAAAGTGGTTTTGTCCAACGGGTTTGCCGCTGCCCTTTTAACTTCAGTGTCATTTCCAATTTTGTAAAAGCAGCAAAGAGTCCTGTGGCACCTTATAGAGTGACTAACAGACGTATTGGAGCATGAGCTTTCGTGGGTGAATACCCACTTCGTCGGATGCATGTGGGTATTCACCCACGAAAGCTCATGCTCCAATATATCTGTTAGTCTATAAGGTGCCACAGGACTCTGCTGATTTTACAGATCCAGACTAACACGGCTACCCCTTTGATAGTGTTTCCAAATTTGTATGCTGTGTGGTTGGAGCTGTGTTTTTGGTCCCAAGATATTAGAGAGACAAGGTGGATGAGGGAATGTCTTTTATTAGACCAGCTTCTGTTGATGAGAGAGACAAGCTTTTGAGTCACTAAGAGCCCTTCTGAAGGTCAAGCTCAAAAGCTGGTCTCTCAGCAGCAGAAGTTGGTCCAATAAAAGATATTACCTCACCCACCCTGTCTCTCTAACTTCCAGATCAGGTTTAAATTGACACCACAGTTAACATGAGAGAGAGAGAGGAGCCTGGATTTGATTTGATTGTGTTTGTTTTTAAATTTGTCTGGTCAAGAAAAGCATCTGGAAAGTGGAACTTCTAAGAGGTCTACATGTGACTGCAGCTAGCAGGAAATGTTACTGCCTACAGCCTGACAGGATTCACTATTGTGAAAGAAATGGTCTGTGGCTATGCACATAAAGAGTGTGATTGCACTATATTCAATATTCAGTCTCCCAAAACATCGTTTCAGTCAGATACATTGCTCTTTAAAATGTAACCTAAGAACATGTAATAGCAGAAAAACTAGATTAATAGGCGTATTCCAATAATGTCTGTTGGCAGGGGGGTACTTGTGATTATGGTGTAGTGGTTAGAAAACTTGGCAGTCAAGACTCCTGGATTTTGTTCCCAGTTCTGAAATGGACTTGAAATGTGACCCTGGAGAAAGTCACTTAACCTCTCTGTACCTTAAATTACCTCCTCATAATATGGATATGATACTACTTCATTGTGGAGTCGAGAATGTTAATTTTGTAAAGCATTTTGAGAACCTTGTCTGAAAGGTACTACACAGTGCAATGTATTGCTCTTATTTAAGGTTTTCTTAAACTTTAGTTTTATAAATTAGTATGTTTTATGTAAGAAATTACAGTGGAATAGTACTGATTGTGTATAGGACAAGTGAAACTGAATTACAATTATTTTAAAAACCGTTTCTCAGCATTGGGACAACTGGTTCAAAATCCACATTAATTTTCACCCCAAAAATAGGAATTGATCAGGAACAATTTTCTCAGATTTCCCCACTTCAAATATTTTATCTAGCCTTTGGGAGACTATTAAGAATAGCACTGCTTCTTATAGCAATTTTTACTTTTTGCAGCATTGGGAACATTACATCTTCTGCCCTGTCTTTGCTTAATGCTTATGCGCAACAGGACTGCCACCTTGTGGCTCATGAAATGGACAGAAACTGATATAAAGTGAGGGTGATATCTGTTATTGGACGAACTGCCGTTGGTGAGAGACTCAGAGTACCTTTCCCACATCTGAAGAAGAGCTCTATATAGCTCGAAAGCATGTCTCTCTCACCAACAGAAGTTCGTCCAAAAAAATAGTACCTCACCGAGCTTGTCTCTTTAATATCCTGGAACAACATGGCTACAACAACAGTGCAAGAAATCAAGTATCAGGGGGTAGCCGTGTTAGTCTGTATCTACAAAAACAACAAGGAGTCTGGTGGCACCTTAAAGACTAACA